AATCTATTCAAAAAAAGAAGTGAATAAAGAGAAGACCCACTTTCATAGTGGGAACGACACATCAATTGGAATCAATTCACCAACTCAGAGCAAAAGCGAATCACAAACTGGTTTAAATGTAAGTGGGATTGAGCCCTAGGATTGAGTCCAGGGTACACAGCAGTGGCAATGAAGACAAACAGACAGCAGGGGGAAATAAGGCAAAGCTTGGAAATAATTTGTTAACATTAATGTGTTGTCTAGTAAGCATCAAAATTTCCAACAGTGGTTTCAAGATTTGGTATCTTAATTTTTAAATGCCATAAATAATATTTTTAAGTAATGGTTACTGGCGTTCTATGTTTTAATTCATTACTGACCATCTTTTTGGTAACTTAATAGTTAGCAATTTAGCAATTTAGCAAATTAAGTAAAGAATTAGGTCTATAAAAACATTTCCTGGTTTAATTTTTATTGTATGGTTTAATGCTAACTTTATACTGAGATTTCCAAGCTTTCAAGTCAGTGATTTAAATAGGCTTCAGGAGCAGGAAAGGAATCACAAAGGGGAAACAGGTCAAGGTCTAAGTAGAGAGAAGCAGGAAAAAAAAATATTAGACAGGATAAAGTCATTCTGCTATGGGCTTGTTTGAGAACCAGCCAGAAATATTTGGAAGCTTGGAATTAGGGCTAAGATAAGAAAAAAATAGAGTGAATCTACACTATATAATTATAGCAGTCTGATGCCATCATAACTACCATGGCTCCATTCTATGGAATCTTGGGATTTGAAGTTTGGTCTTTAAAAATCTCTCTTTTTAGTGTATTATCCTGTATTACAGTTTCCAAAGTACCCTGAGAAGGATAGATGATTAAATCAGAGTAATTTGGGAACAATAATTCAAGATGGTACAGTAGAGCTATCTAACAGATAAGTCTAAAGACCTTACCAAAGGAAGGAGCCATGACAGTTAAAGTAGAATTAAACTGTTGGGAATGTGTTGTGTAAATAAACTCTTTGTTTTAACTGGGTCTAATGTAGGTGCAGTGGTGAGAATGGAGACTAAGGGTGAAACAGAATGAAATAAAAAGCTGGCTTCCCAGTGGCTTGAGGTCGTGGTGTACACACGATGTATACCCCCAAGATGCCAGGAAGCTGGCTTCATGTTGCCTGGCTGCCCACACATGGGCTGGCTTCCCAGCACTCTGGCAGCACAGTGTTTATATGCCACACTCTGCAGGAGTGCCATCAAGCCATGGTGGGCTGGGAAAAGCTGTCTTTTTGCTGACGCAAAAAGGAGTGGCAATTTGCCGCTTCTTTTGGGGCCACAAAAAGGTGGATTGGGGCCACATCCCCAATCTGGCTTTCTCCGGGGCAGTTTGAAGCCACCTCTTTGGGGTGGTCTGTTTCACCCTAAGTCCTGATCTCAGAAAATGATTGAAAGCTCTGGCAAGCAGGATTGCAAAAAGTCTTTGTATTAGTATAAAGCAGTTTCATATATTTCTTAAAGCCCAAAGGAGAATGTTGGATGAAGAGGAGGAGGATTCAAGTCAGGGATAAAAGTCATGCACTTCAAATGGTCTAATGCAATGGATGTTATTTGCTTATATTCTTGTTATGAAGAATAAATATTAGTGAAAAGAGAACTGAAAAGCATGTGGAAAAGCAAAAAACAATGAGGAAACAAGGTCCATGTGCTCTGGGATGGTCAAGTGTTTATTCAATGTTAAAAAAGCCAAACATGTTTCAGTCACAATGAGAAAGGCCTTCTTCAGGAGCCTTCAAAAGAATTCAATGAAGTTTAATTCAATAAACACTCCCCAAAATACAGGACTATAGATACTCTCCCATATGGTGTTTACAACTCCACAGAGTTCTTTTGAAGGGCCCTGAAGAAGGCCTTTCTAATTGTGGCTGAAACATGTTGGGCTTTTTAAACACTGAATAAATAGTTGACCATCCCAGAGCATGTGGACCTTGTCTCCTCAGTGAGAATGAATATGGCAGTCCCTAGAGGAATTAAGATGGAAGAATCCTTGGCTGGCATTCATGGTGGGCTCTGCATGGGTTCTTGAGCTCCCTGAGAGCTAAGTAAAATTGTTTTCTCATGCTGCTGGGCCTGAAACACTGGTCCTGGAGGGGTAGGCAATTGCTGGATGTCGGTGGGGAAGATAACAGGGGATAACTAATTCAAGCACTGTGTGAGTACATAATTCATTTCATTGAGCCCTGCATCCATGCATACAGTTGGAATTTGCAGTTGGATACTTCTATAGTGGTTTAGATGTTGGACTAGGACTCTGAGATACCAAGGTTTGAATTTCCACTCTGCCATGAAAATCCACTCAGCAAACCACATTCTTTTAGTCTAAGAGGAGATGAAAAAAGTCTCAGAATAAATCTTATCACGAAAACTCTACAATAGTGTCATCCTACACTAGAGCCAACTTAACATCACAGAGCAACAACAAGACAACATGGAGTAGGAAGAGAAAAAGGTGTCTAGAAACTGAAAATGCACTCAGATCCCTGTGCAGTAGCACAGAAAATGTAATGGTGCATTGTCAGTTTATTTTTGAGAGAGATGTCTGTCCAGGATCAGACAAACTCTGCATGAATACAGAATTCATCTCATGGACTCCTGCATCTATGCAGGTAGTTGTAGTTTACAGTTGGACATTTGTACAGTTCTTATGGGTTGGCTGCTTTCCCACATGACACGTATTGCAATATGAGATGAGGATAAGCCCCACAACCTTATAAAGGGCTATTCCCAGTTTTCACTCCCCCTGGTGCCCTTGTGGCCTGGCTCAATCACATTTGCAGAGTACATGCAATCCAATTTGTTTTACCTTCTCCTGTTTTCCTGCCAATGCTGTGTTGGATGGTGAATTCTAGACATCAATATCAAACAGTCTTGCACTCCCTCCGTCCCTCACCAGGATCCCCCAGGCATGAG